TTTCAACGTTTATTTATTTTGGGGACAGAGAGAGACAGAGCATGAACGGGGGAGGGGCAGAGAGAGAGGGAGACACAGAATCGGAAACAGGCTCCAGGCTCTGAGGCATCAGCCCAGAGCCTGACGCGGGGCTCGAACTCCCGGACCGCGAGATCGTGACCTGGCTGAAGTCGGACGCTTAACCGACTGCGCCACCCAGGCACCCCGGTGTATAATCCTTTTAATGTGCTGTTGAATTTGGACTAAGTTCAGGCTCATCTTCTCTGTATTGTTCCAATTTTAGTATACATGCTGCCAAAGCAAAAAACTCCTGTGGCTTTATTTTTCAAATGGGGCATAAAGTGGGGCACCTGAGTGGCTCAGTCACTTGAGCATCTCACTCTTGATTTAGCCTCAGGTTATGATCTCACAATTGTGAGACTGAGCCCTGCATTGGGCTCCTCACTGAGAGAGGAGTCTGCCTGAGATTCTCTCTCTCTCTCTCCTTCTGCCCCCCTCCTTTGCTCCCACTCTCTCTTAGATAAATAAATAAATAAATAAGGCATAATGTACTTTGAATTACATAATGTACTTTGCATTTCAATTACCAAATGAGTCAATGTCTCAAAGAGCAAGAATTCTTTTCCATGCCTGAAACGCTGACAAAAATTAACACTTGCTAGTTCTTCTCCTTGTTTCCTTTGCAGAAGTAGCATCGCATCCTACATAATATACCTCAATTGTAACGTCAGAAAGTGACTGCCTCTTTGGAAGATGCTGTTTAACAATCTGACCCACAAAGAGCATCCAGATTTGTAGATTCTAGGACACCCTATGAAACTTGTTGGTCAACATACCCAAACTGTTTAAAACAAATGAGAGTATGAATTAGATGTACTGGGAACTCAGTTCTCCAATGGATTCAATAATTCGACTTTTAGGGTACTTAAAATACAGCCCCTCCTCAAAATAATAATAATATAACATTACGTAACATAAAATACAGCCCCTACTGTAGTAATGTGCGGAGTGTGCGGAACATAGCGGTGGATTCATTTATCCGGCTGAGTAGGGATCCAAACATATATGCCAGGTACCAGGGACTCTGAAGGACACAATTCTTTGGAGAAAAGTTCCAGGGACCACACTTTTGTTGTCAGTTGACAACAGCTACTGGGAATTTCTGCTTCTGTTTCACAACTCATCGGACTGGCTGGGATTGGCCCAGAGCTGGGAAAAGAAATAAATGTACAATTCACTTATTTAACAGGTATTTACAATACCTAGGGATGATGTGTCAGCTTCCGAGAAGCCTCCTGCCAGGTGCGGCCAGGACAGGGGGTAAAGGGGGAAGAGAATCTCTCCACAGGGCGCGGGTCCGGGAAAGACGCGAAAGGAGGAAACAAAACCGAGGCCCGACGTTGGGAATAAAACCGGCATCTGAGGAAGGGATCCACCCTTGCCGACCTCTCAGGGATCTGGGCCTGCGCCCTGAGCGGCCCTTCGTGCCTCGCTCCGCCCCCCGACGGCGCATGCGCCTGGAGCAGCGTGGCGCTCGCGCTCGCGCTCGCAACAGCGCCTACGCAGCCAGGTGTTTCTCCTCCCCACTCCGTTCCTACCCAGCTGTCTGGGAGTTGTTGGCAACTAGAGACTGGGGTGGGACGTGGAGTGACTCCTGGTCTGTGATACTGGCCAGTTACCCTATAGGCGGTGCTCTGGCCTAGAAAGAAAGGTGAAATCACAGACTTTCTAACGCATTCACCTGCCACTGCCATCGC